TTTATATGTCTCTGCTGCCTGTGCCCTGCTTTCAGGAAGGGAGTGTAACATATTCCTGGCCTAGCACCCCGGCGATGTGACTCTACTGCTCACTTTCTACCCACAGGTAGAAATATGACATATATCTTGGCCCAGGTAACAGGTGTAATGATGACTCCCAGCCAAGAGGAGAGATACTGTCTCTCATAGCTAAACTTAGAAAAAAATAGGTAAGATTCTGGGTCTTGTTTTTGTACAAACTAACAAAGCATTACCACTCTCACATATCACATACAGAACTCAGATGGTACAGAGAGTGCCATCACAGGGCCCAACAGCAAGGAGACACTGTTCTCTCACATGCACATGCCACCAACCATTAGGACTGGCATCCTCACACATGGACAAAGCCCAGTTGTCAGGTCCTGAATCTCACATGCTGATGCAATCCAATTGTGACTTTCATACGTGAACATTCAGCCACAGTTGAGATGGTGACTCATTTAAAACCCATCTCAAAGGCAGTTGAGGACTCTTCTCTGGACCCAGCCGGTACAGGTATGATCACGGATCCATACCAGTGCAAGGGTCTCAGAGGGGATTTTGACTTTCATGCATACTGGATAAAGCCCTCCGGGGCTGGGCGTGGTGGCTCACACCTGTAATTCCAGCACTTTGGGAGGCTTAGGCAGGTGGGTCACTTGCGGTCAGGAGTTTGAGACCAGCCTGGCCAACATAGTGAAACATCATCTCTACTAAAAATACAAAAAATTAGCCCAGTGTGGTGGTGGGCACCTGTAATCCCAACTACTTGGGAGGTTGAGGCAGGAGAATCACTTCAACTCAGGAGGCAGAGATTGTAGTGAACTATCACCCCACAGCACTCCAGCCTGGGCTACAGAGTGAGACGCCATCTCAAAAAAACAAAACAAAAACAACAAAAAACCCAAAGCCCTCTGGTGGTGCGGAGAGTGTCCTAACAGGGCCAAGCACCACACAGGTGAGATTTTGACACTCGATTCCACACCAGCCAACAGGAAAGACTGTCATCTTCCTAAATGAACAAAGCCTACTGTGGAGTTTAAGAATCTCACAATCGAAGGCAGCCAAAGTTTGGAAAATTGGCTCATAAATGGAACCCAGGAGGTGTAGGCTGCAGTGAACGGAAATCATGCCACTGAACTCCAGCCGGGTGACAGAGTGACATTTCATGTCAAAGAAAAAAAAAATTTTTTTGTTTTACTCAGAAAAGCAATGCTAACTGATGTAATCCTCTTACCTGTGGATGGTATATCACTATTAACTGATCTGAAAGTAATATAGATAAGCAAATTCTCCATTTAAAATCAACTTTTTGTATATTGAAACTACCAGTTTTCTCATTAGAACCAATAAAGTACCGTGTGAAATGACACGGCATGAAGACAACAATGAGAAAACCGTCCCGTAAAACAGAAAAAGAAGGGCTGTGATACACACACAGCTGGAATACACGCAACAAGACAGAAAACTGAAGGTAACTAGGGAATAAAAGCAGCAGAATTTCTTTTTAAATTCAGCAACAGTCAGCTTTGCAGCCTGAAAACAAAATTCCTCTGGACAAGAATAAATCAATGTTAAGAAATAACATCTCTTGACCTCGTGATCCACCTGCCACGGCCTCTCAAAGTTTGAGATTGTTATCTTTCATTTCTGATTTGAAGCTGCAAACTAACTCCCACAGAAGTATTTATGGCTAATTATGTAGCACCTGCTACACAGCAAGCTCTGCCATGTTTGTTTGCTGCATTTATATGTAAAAACATCCTCGTGACTTAGGAAGCCGCCCTACTACTTACATAACTTGGCTGAATTAATAAAGAAATCTACTTATTTCAAAATTCTAAAAAGTGAAAGGAACATTAGCTTAAAAAAAGTAGGCTTATGTAGGATTCTTGAATAAAACAAAATGGAATGTTCTAACTAAATAAAATATAACAATACACAAATTTTGGAATTAGGTCTAACAATGATTTTTTGCGCATTATTAAATTTTATAAAAATCATTGATATACTCCCTGACCAACTCACAAAATGAATAGTTTACAAACTATAAAAGAACAAAATATAAGAAACAAAAATAATATGTCTAGAATGAGTACCAGGCAAGTAAAAAACAGGTAATTTGCATGGGGAGATTCTGAATCATAAGCCATACAATTTCACAGTAATGAATTCAATACAAAGCAGACAGTATATATTTGCATTTGGCGTTTTTGAGGTTTCTAGTTTTCTAGTACGTTAGTTACCTTATTAAAATGCTTTATTTTTTCCAATATTGCTCTATTTTTCTGAAAATAGGTAAATTTGTACTCACAGAAACACACTCCATAATTTTCCTGCACCTACGCATTATCTTGAGAGTAATATATGTGCATATTTAACTCTATGTAAATCAAAACTGTCTGTACGTGTTTGCAGGCAGAGAGGCCACATGTTCAAAAATATATATATTAAAAATTATTTAGGCCGGGCACGGTGGCTCACGCCTATAATCCCAGCACTTTGAGAGGCCGTGGCAGGTGGATCACGAGGTCAGGAGATCGAGACCATCCTGGTCAACAAGGTGAAACCCTGTCTCTACTAAAAATACAAAAATTAGCTGGGCATGGTGGCGCGCACCTGTAGTCCCAGCTACTCCAGAGGCTGAGGCAGGAGAATTGCCTGAACCCAGGAGGCGGAGGTTGCGGTGAGCCGAGATTGCGCCATTGCACTCCAGTCTGGGTAACAACAGTAAAACTCCGTCTCAAAAAAAAAAAAAAAAAAAATTGTTTAAAGCCAGGTGCGGTGGCTCAAGCCTGTAATCTTAGAACTTTGGGAGGCTGACTGAGGTCGGGAGTCTCAGACCAGCCAAGACAATATGGCAAAACCCCATCTTTACTAAAAATCCAAAAGTAGCCGGGGATGGTGGCACACGCTTGTAATCCCAGCTACTCAGGAGGTCGAGGCAGGAGAATGGCTTGAACCCACAAGGAAGAGGCTGTGGTGAGGTGAGATCACACCACTGCACTCCAACTCAGGTAACAGAATGAGACTCTGTCTCAAAAAAAAGATTATTTTAAATATATTTTTAGGACTCAGAAATGTATCAATTTTATTTATACTTTTGTATACTTTTTATTATGACCATAAAAATGACCCTGCAGTCAATAGAAATTCTACATTTTAAAAACTAAAAGTGTGTAACTGAATTTTTTTTTTTCTGAGATGGAGTTTTGCGCTTGTTACCCAGGCTGGAGTGCAATGGCGCGATCTCGGCTCACCGCAACCTCTGCCTCCTGGGTTCAGGCAATTCTCCTGCCTCAGCCTCCTGAGTAGCTGGGATTACAGGCACGCGCCACCATGCCCAGCTAATTTTTTGTATTCTTAGTAGAGACGGGGTTTCACTATGTTGACCAGGATGGTCTCGATCTCTTGACCTCGTGATCCACCCGCCTCGGCCTCCCAAAGTGCTGGGATTACAGGCTTGAGCCACTGCGCCCGGCCAATTGTTTTTAATGAAAGGGATAAATGCGAGATGTGAAGGATACCTCGTTTATCCTAATACTACCATTACTACATATTGTATGCCTGTATCAGAATATGCCTTGGATTATATAAATAAATACATATGTTATGTACCCACAAAATTTAACAAAAAATAATTTGAATTAAAAAAAATCATAAACATTGAATTTAAGGGAACAATATATTTTTTGTTTTTTGTTTTGGAGACGGAGTTTCGCTCTTGTTACCCAGACTAGAGTGCAATGGCACAATCTAGGCTCACTGCAACCTCCGCCTCCTGGGTTCAAGCAATTCTCCTGCCTCAGCCTCCCAAGTAGCTGGGACTACCACCATGCCCAGCTAATTTTTGTATTTTTAGTAGAGACGGTGTTTCACCTTGTTGACCAGGATGGTCTTGATCTCTTGACCTCGCGATCCACCCGTCTCCCAAAGTGCTGGGATTATAGGCGTGAGCCACCACGCCCGGCCGGGAACAACATTTTTTAGCTTATTTGCAGTTTAAAGCAACTGGCAAAAGAGATTACAAGAGCTGTTATTCCATTATGTTACCAGTATCCTATTTAAGTTGCTACCGTCCTTTACCTACACCCTTGAGTAAGGTGGAATAGCTTCAAATTTGTGGCATAATGCTTCACTAAATGCACAATAGTCTCCACATGGTAAAAAGATATGTATATAATCTGCAAAGTTTAAAATGTACTGCACTTTATGACATAAAATCACAATCAGTAAAATGACATACTACTATTTTAATTTTCATTACTTCTAAGTAAAATTAAAACTGTTTTTCTCTCACTATAATACAGAAGAATATTACTCCCAACACCCACCTCACACAACACTCAACAAGTGAACCACAAAGAGCCTCTCAACTTAGATTTCTATTATGCATCTTATATATGAATGTCCTCACTTTAATAAAGTCGTCCATAATGCCCACCTAAGAATCTCTCATACCTTTGATGCAACAATAACTGATCACATGCTGTCACATGTTAACACAATAGGAAGAAACAGCATAAAGTAATTTGAGACTTGAGTTACATCATTAGTTTTTTAAAACTTCCAAAACCTTTTCAAGAAAAAAGTATAGTTGAAATGTAATTATGACTTTCCAAAAAAATCTTTAGGTTATATATATAACTTATGTAACAACTTCAGGTTCAGATTATTTTTTATACTCAGCACTATGATTTAGTGTAATATCTGAAGTGTCAATGCCTTCGTTATTTCTACGTGACTCTGGGATATTTACAGAAACCTAATTTCAAATTAAATACTTTTTATACATATTGCATCTCCAAAAATATATTTTAGTATAAACTTTGTTTTCTGGCCTATAGTTTTGTAATAAAATACTGCTTCATGTTTCTCTAGTACAAAATGCGTACAGTAAGATCTGCAACACTCTGTGACATTTTTCTTCAGAATAAATATGTGTCACTTGAAAGGCTTATGTTTTCTGAAAAATCATTTGATAGTAATTGCACTTAAAATGTTTTATTAAGTATAAACTCTTGACCTGGCACAGTGGCTCATGCCTGCAGTCCCAGCACTTTGGGAGGCTGAGGCAGGTGCATCACAAGGTCAGCAGTTTGAGACCAGCCTTACCAACACGGGGAAACCACATCTATACTAAAAATACAAAAATTAGCCAGGCATGGTAAGGCATGCCTGTAATCTTAGCTACTCAGGAGGCTGAGGCAGGAGAATTGCTAGGATCCAGGAGGCAGATGTTGCAGTGGGCCAAGATCACACCACTGCCCTCTAGCCTGGGAAACAGAGCAAAACTCCATCTCAAAAAAAAATATAAGCTTTTTGATGTTGAGTAAGATATAAGCAGATATTAATGGCTTTTCCATTCTTAATATTTGTACACATTTTCTCAAGTGCAAATGCTTTCCTGTGCAATAAGGTGTGAACACTGCTGAAGTTATGCCACAGGCATGGTGGTTCCCACCTTTAATCCCAGTACTTTGGGAGGCCGAAGCAGGTGGATCAATTGAGGTAAGAAGTTTAAGACTAAGCCTGGCCAACATGGTGAAACCCCATCTCTACTAAAAACACCAAAATCAGCCAGACATTGTGGCAGGTACCTGTAATCCCAGCTACTTGGGGAGGCTGAGGCAGGAGAATCACTTGAACCTGGGAGGTGCAGATTGCAGTTGGCCAAGATCACGCCACTGCACTGTGGCCTGAGTGACAGGGTGAGACCCCATTTAAAAAAAAAAAAAGTTTTGCCACATTCTTTACACTTGGAGTTCCTCAGTCAAAATTATCTTACCTACAATCAAGTGTGGAAACCATTTAAAGGATTTGTCACATTCTTCACATTTCCAGGGTTTTGTACCAGTATGATTACTTTTATGTTTGGAAAGGTCTGAGGTGTTGTTAAAAGCATTGTCACCTCTTTCAGGTTTGCAGAGTTTCTCTCCAGGATGAATTATGTCTGTTAAGAACTGAGGACTTGTAAAAGGCTTTGCTTCATTCTTCACACTTGTACAGTTCATCTCCAGTATTATGTGAGCTAAGGGTTGAGAACTCGTTAAAGCATTCATCACATTCTTCACATTAGCAGGGTTCATTTTCCATGTGAATTTTCATTTTTAGCAAAAGTTGAGGACTGGTTAAAGGCTTTGCCACATTTAACACATTTGTAGGATTTCTCTCCAGTATAAATTATCTTATGTTTAGTAAAGGTTGAGAATTGGTTAAAATTTTTGCCATATTCTTCACACTTTTAGGGTTTCTCTCTACCATGTATTCTCTTATGCATAGTGAGGTTTGAGGACTGGTTAAAGGCTTTGCCACATTCTTCACATTTGTAGGATTTTCCTCCAGTATGAATTATCTTATGTGCAGTGAGGGTTGAGGACAGATTAAAGGCTTTGTGACATTCTTCACATTTGTAGGGTTTCTCTCCAGTATGAATTATCTTATGTGCAGTAAGCTTTGAGGACTCATTAAAGGCTTTGCCACATTCTTCACATTTGTAGGGTTTTCCTTCAGTATGAATTATCTTATGTTTATTAAGGGTTGAGGGAAGGGTAAAGACTTTGTGACATTCTTCACATTTGTAGGGTTTCTCTCCAGTATGAATTCTCTTATGTGTAGTAAGGGTTGAGAAACGGTTAAAGGCTTTGCCACATTTTTCACATTTGTAGGATTTCTCTCCTGTATGAATTCTTTTATGTCTAGTAAGGATTGAAGACTGGTTAAATGCTTTGCCACATTCTTCACATTTGTAGCGTTTCTCTCCAGTATGAATCATCTTATGTGCAGTAAGGTTTGACAACTCATTAAAGGCTTTGCCACATTCTTCATATTTGTAGGGTTTCTCTCCAATTTGAATTCTTTTATGTTGAGTTAGTAGGGAGAGCATGCAAAATGATTTGCCACATTCTTTACAATTGAAAAGTTTCTTTCCTGTATGTCTTATTTTATGTCTATTTGAGTTTGAAAATGTATGACAGACTTCCACATATGTATGACATTGAAACCTTCTGCTCTGAGTAGTTGGCAAACATTGATCAAGTCGACTATAATCTCCTCTGTGCAGTTTACACTCATCCACACTTCTGCAGCCTTTCCTTAATTGTAAGTTATCATCTCCACATTTATTGTATCTCCTCAGTATCACTTTTTGGAAAGAATCTTTTATATTTTGCTCTGGCGAAAGTTCTTTGACAAAGTGAGAACACATAACTAAAAGAAATTAAAACAACAAATTACTCCACTTGCTAGACTCAGATAAATATACTTTACAAATCTAACCTACAAAAGCATACAAATGACATAAGTAAACTAGCATATCAAAACACCACAGGTTCTAATTTCTTCATAAATATATAAATGTAACAAAAACATACTGGTCAAAATACATTTGTAGAAAATTTATAAATAAGTGTGTGCAGTGCCACAGGTGAGCACAATGCAAAGAGCTGGGCAGGATGGCTCAGACCTGTAATCCCAGCACTTTGTGAGGCCAAGGCGGGTGGATCACAAAGTAAGGAGTTCGAGACCAGTCTGACCAACATGGTGAAACCCCGTCTCTACTAAAAATACAAAAATTAGCCAGGCGTGGTGGCGCTAATCCCAGCTTCTCAGGAGGCTGAGGCAGAAGAATCACTTTAACCTGGGAGGTGGAGGTTGCAGTGAGCCGAGATGATGCCACTGCACCCCAGCCTGAGCGAAAGAGCAAGACTATCTTTAAAAAAAAAAGGAAAGGAAAAGTCTATTACATTTACTTCTGCCTTCAGAAGTAAATTGCTAATTTCTGGTTTCTATTTTAAAATACCAGAAAAATATTAGCACATACATTTACATTTCTGGCTTCTAGAGGTCTTACCAGACACTGGTTTCAGTTTCCTATGACATAAAATGCTGAAAGAAATGGGGGTATACTTTGGAATAACAGTTTGAGTCTGCTGAGGCCAAAGATAAATGGGACAGCAGCACAAAGACTGCAGTACTACAGACAGGGAAGAGGTGTAGCCAACGATTACTGACTATTAAAAGAAACATGATCCGAGTGGGCGTTGGACATTCAATTAAAACACGCGCACGCACACACACACACACACACACATATACAAAAGAAGAAACACGAATAAACTTTCACTTCAAGAAAAACAAAACCAAACCAAAAAACCTCACAAAACTTTAGACAAGATACATTCTAAGAACATGTTTGAGAGACTTACAGAATCTCTAGCCAAGACAATTTGTTTCAGACTATGCCAGGACAAAGCTGTATTACAGACTGTGACAGATAACTTGTTTTTAATTTCCAAATCTCAATCAGATTACAATGTATACAGAGTATTAGGGCAGCATGGGCCCATCAAAAACATAATCCAATGTTCAGAAAGCAATCACAAAAAATGATACAAATACGAAGAAGCTCAACAAACAAACAGGGACACACACACGAGGTATCTGTATCAAACTCATATAAAAGAGCAATTTCAAAAGTCACAGACAAGAAGAAAATCTCAGGAGTGGCAAGACAAAAGTGACGTGTCATTTACAAGCTTAGTCTTATAAAACCAGTGAATTTGTGAACAAGACTTTTGCAGGCCAGAAGGCCTGACTGTGTCACATAGTCAAAGTCCTGGGAAAAAAAAAACAACTGCGGTGAACTGCGAAAAATAGCATCAGCAAAACTGTCCTAACAAATAAAAAGTAGAAGACACTCCAAATAATGAAATCCTGAGAAAGTATATTGGCACTGCGTATGTCCTATATATCAAAGGTGCTGAAAGCAGTTCCTTCCACTGAAAATAACACGATGCAATAAAACAACACATAATCATATATAAATACTAACTTTGGGGAAAGATATGCACATACCCAATAATAGAATTTCATAACATTACCATAATGGTGCAGAAAACATTTTTAATTTTTCTCTAAAAGTTGAAAGATAAATGCACAGAAATTATACAAACATATATTAATGAATATACAACATAAAACGATATAATTAGCTACATCGATAACAAAGTTAAGAGCAAATACAATGAGGAAGAATTTCTGTATGCAACTTGAGTTTAATTTTTACCAGATTAAAATATATAGCTGTATCTTTTAAGTTTTATGTAATCCCCAAGGTACCAGAAAGGAAATATCTGTATAGATACATAAAAGAAAATAAGAAATAAAAGCATATCAATACAAAAATCAAAAAGACAGAAAAAGAGAAAATGAAGGACAGAGATAAAAGAATAAAATACAATTAATAGAATAATATTAGTCTTTCTCCTTTAGAAAATTATTTAAATATATATAAAATTAATTTTCCAATCAAGATACATACTTTCAATAAAGGCATTTATTTGAAAAATTTAAAAATCAAAATCCAACTTGCCTTTCTACAAAGAGGCAGTTGAGATCTAATAATAAAAAAACAACTGAAAGTGGCAAGATGGAAGTAGACATAGCATGCAAATACTAACCAAAGGAGAGCAGAAGAGGTCAAAATAACGTTAGACAAGCTATATGTTAAGTCAAAAACTGTCATATTTTATATGTACTTGAAACCAACTGTACCTGAAGACAAAACTCCAAAGGGACAAAAAAGAACATTAAATAATAACAGATTACTTTACTGGGATCCTATAACAAATTTGTGTGCATGTGTGTGTATCTCATTAGTGTGTTGTGTGTGTGTGTGTGTATCTCATTAGTGTGTGTGTGTGTGTGTATCTCATTAGTGTGTGTGTGTGTGTATCTCATTAGTGTGTTGTGTGTGTGTGTATCTCATTAGTGTGTGTGTGTGTGTGTATCTCATTAGTGTGTTGTGTGTGTGTGTATCTCATTAGTGTGTGTGTGCGCGCGCGCGTGTATGTGTGTGTGTGTATCTCATTAGTGTGTGTGTGTGCGCGCGCGTGTATGTGTGTGTGTGTATCTCATTAGTGTGTGTGTGTGTGTGTATCTCATTAGTGTGTGTGTGTGTATCTCATTAGTGTGTGTGTGTGCGCGCGCGCGTGTATGTGTGTGTGTGTATCTCATTAGTGTGTGTGTGTGTGTGTATCTCATTAGTGTGTGTGTGTATCTCATTAGTGTGTGTGTGTGCGCGCGCGCGTGTATGTGTGTGTGTGTATCTCATTAGTGTGTGTGTGTGTATCTCATTAGTGTGTTGTGTGTGTGTGTGTATCTCATTAGTGTGTGTGTGTGTGTATCTCATTAGTGTGTTGTGTGTGTGTGTATCTCATTAGTGTGTGTGTGCGCGCGCGCGTGTGTGTGTGTGTGTATCTCATTAGTGTGTGTGTGTGCGCGCGCGTGTATGTGTGTGTGTGTATCTCATTAGTGTGTGTGTGTGTGTATCTCATTAGTGTGTGTGTGTGTGTGTATCTCATTAGTGTGTGTGTGCGCGCGCGCGTGTATGTGTGTGTGTGTATCTCATTAGTGTGTGTGTGTGTGTATCTCATTAGTGTGTGTGTGTGTATCTCATTAGTGTGTGTGTGTGTATCTCATTAGTGTGTGTGTGTGTGTATCTCATTAGTGTGTGTGTGTGTATCTCATTAGTGTGTGTGTGTGTGTATCTCATTAGTGTGTGTGTGTGCGCGCGCGTGTATGTGTGTGTGTGTGTGTATCTCATTAGTGTGTGTGTGTGTATCTCATTAGTGTGTGTGTGTGTATCTCATTAGTGTGTGTGTGCGCGCGCGCGTGTATGTGTGTGTGTGTGTGTATCTCATTAGTGTGTGTGTGTGTATCTCATTAGTGTGTGTGTGTGTATCTCATTAGTGTGTGTGTGCGCGCGCGCGTGTATGTGTGTGTGTGTATCTCATTAGTGTGTGTGTGTGTGTGTGTATCTCATTAGTGTGTGTGTGTATCTCATTAGTGTGTGTGTGTGCGCGCGCGCGTGTATGTGTGTGTGTGTATCTCATTAGTGTGTGTGTGTGTGTATCTCATTAGTGTGTTGTGTGTGTGTGTATCTCATTAGTGTGTGTGTGTGTGTATCTCATTAGTGTGTTGTGTGTGTGTGTATCTCATTAGTGTGTGTGTGCGCGCGCGCGTGTGTGTGTGTGTGTATCTCATTAGTGTGTGTGTGTGCGCGCGCGTGTATGTGTGTGTGTGTATCTCATTAGTGTGTGTGTGTGTGTATCTCATTAGTGTGTGTGTGTGTGTGTATCTCATTAGTGTGTGTGTGTGCGCGCGCGTGTATGTGTGTGTGTGTATCTCATTAGTGTGTGTGTGTGTGTGTATCTCATTAGTGTGTGTGTGTGTATCTCATTAGTGTGTGTGTGTGTATCTCATTAGTGTGTGTGTGTGTATCTCATTAGTGTGTGTGTGCGCGCGCGCGTGTATGTGTGTGTGTGTGTGTATCTCATTAGTGTGTGTGTGTGTATCTCATTAGTGTGTGTGTGTGTATCTCATTAGTGTGTGTGTGCGCGCGCGCGTGTATGTGTGTGTGTGTGTGTATCTCATTAGTGTGTGTGTGTGTATCTCATTAGTGTGTGTGTGTGTATCTCATTAGTGTGTGTGTGCGCGCGCGCGTGTATGTGTGTGTGTGTGTGTATCTCATTAGGGTTCCTAACAAATAAAGCAAATACTGACAAAATTGAAGAAGCACATAGAGAGCAATATAATTATACTAGGATATTTCAATACTCCACTTTTTGTAATAACAATAAAATGAGACAGAATATTAGTAAGGAAACAGAGGACTTCAAGGCAATTATTTCCAACAACATCAGGATATACACCCTTCTCAATAGCTCATACAATATTCTCCTTGACAGATCATTTGTTAAGCAAAAACATAAATTAAAAAGTCTTAACTAAATTTTTTAAACTGAAATCTTACGGATTACCTTCTATGACCAAAATGGAATAAGAATATAAAATAATAATAGAAAAAGCTGATAATTTTGCAAATATATAGAAATTAAGGTACACACTCTTGAGCGTGCTCTTGTTCAAAGGTTAAAATGATTACTATTGTAAAACTGTCCATACTACTCCATGTAATCTACAAATTTAATGCAGTGTTTTCCAAAACTGTCACTGCATTTTTGAAGAGATCGAAACAGCAACCCAAAGAGCACAGGGAATCTCAAGAGACAACAACGTGCACAAAAATCTTCAAAAAGAGGAACAATGTCAGCGGCATTACAGTCCCTAATTTCAAAACACATTAAAAAGCTACAGAATGAAGACAAATTGGTAGGACTATCAAGGTGGAAAGGTGGACTAATCAA